AATAAAGTCTGAATAGCAATTTGAATTCCAGTATGTAAGTCATTTTGTCAGTTACAAAATGGACTACAAATATCTTGATAATAAAATAAATATGGAATGAGTGACAGAGGTGCTTAAAACTTGTGAGTAATTTATCACATTTGAAACTTAAAGTCTTTATCCAGCACAGACTACAAAAAGGTAGCAAGAGGTACCAAGAGCATAAGATGGACATAACAAAGCCAGCATTAACTTGTTTTGTAACTCAGGGTGCAACAGAGACTCTCCAAGCATGAAGAGGTTTGTACGTATTACTTTAAAAAATCCACTTTCAGACCTCACATAAAAATTCAATTTTCATCCCTGGGGAGTATATTTTGTTATCTAGAGAAGTATTTCAGGTTTTATCTGGTCTAAGCTTATAACCCCTGAACACAGGTCATAATTCAGTAACCTCACATAAAATTTTTTTCCTTTGGGTGCCTCTCTCATGCACTGAGTTAAGTGTATTACTCACATAAGAATGCCTATAACTCAGGTATATTTATACCATGTATGGCTGGGCATAAAATTTATATCTGTCATAATGATGTGGACATCCAGTTTTTAGAGAAATAACTGAAAATTTGTTCATAAAGCCTCAAAGATTATCATTGTTCTCAAAGTTTAATTCACCTGTTGACTTGGTATGCATGTTGTTAAAACAGTCAGGTAATACCTCTATCAAATTTCTGTTGTTTTTTTTTTTTTTTAATTGATAATTGATAATATTAACAATAAAATCAAATCTATCCCTGACATCTGAACATTTTTTTTCAAAATCTCAATTTTACAAAGACATGTTATCTGGCCAAGACAAATGATATTAATAATTTGCATGTTCAGCTCAGTATTACAAAGTCAAATAACATGAGAGTGCATGTGTCATTACCCAGTCTTTCCAACCATATGCCTACCATCATGTGTCTGGATATTGCTACAGGGCTATTATAAAATCAATGTATCCACTGATAACAAGCATGCAATCATTCAGGGTCTGATAAATATCTAGTATTGTAAATTACTCACAAACTTCAATCACCTCTCTTACTCATTCAAATATTGTATGTGAAAAAATGTTATATATATGATTCATTTTTTTATTGAATGCTGTTTTTTGTATTAAACATCCTATTTTGGAATTTCTAAACCTTTATAATTTTCAGGCATTACTAACTCAAACTGCATATAAATATAAAAAAGTTCAAATTTATTGTTGAGTAAATGTCAGTAATTGCCATAATTACTTTTCAATGGCTATGAAATATTTCCACTGAAAAGGAAAGAAAAACACTTCAGGGGCTCAACATCTTGAGGCTGGCACCATATTTCTAGATAATTATATATGTGATAAATAGTCGGGGAAGCATGACCACTCTCATGCATAGAAGTACTTATCATATCAATATCAGGTGTAGTTTAAGTGTCTGCCACCAGCTAGCCAATCCAGTGCATTAATTTCTGATCTGTCGAGAGCTTCTCAAGACCTTAATTGCAAGCTTTGGCCTCTACTAGTACTTTGGATTTACCTTGGCCTCTACCTCAACATGAGGCCTACCTTTCAAAGCCCAAAATTGTGGATAAGATAAGTGCTGCACCCTGTGTTTACAATCAATAGCTTACTTTATTAATTTTTGAAGTTAAAACTTTCAATCATTTGAATAGTCTAATCTCCAGTATGGTGTAATATGTACAAGTATCTAACATGTGAATGCAGCCAAATAAAGTGAAAGCAGCTGAATATCACTATCACTTGATCACCTATATCATTTGCACGTGAATAAAGGCTGAGCGTCTAGTCTCTACTTGAAGTATTGGATTTAAACGAGCAGTCATGTTTGTCTTCTTCATGTCATGGCAAATAACTTAATTATTACTTGTTTATATAACATAATCATCAGTAAAAAAAAGTTTTCAGTACAAAATTGATTAAGTTCTAATGAATTAATTCAAATAAATGCCATGAGACAATATGGTTATTTAGCAACAGCTTGTCATATAAAATGCACTTAATTGTACAGTAGTTTCAGTGCATGAAATGGATTTGAAATGCAAGCACAAATAAATGAAATCCTCAATAATTATACTGCTGCCGATAAAATTATTTAAGAAAAGCTGTAGTACCAAAAAAGTTAGGTAAATACATTTATTATGTAAATCATTTGTGTAATTTGTCTTTCTCAGTTCTGTTTTACACAAATTTACTGTGCTTTGAAAAAGGGGGGTACCTTGCGCCGGTACGCGAATTTCTCTGTCAAATCACTGAAAAACCAAACACAAACAGGCACATTACAGCTATAACGCGTCAGATACTGTCTACTGCCGTCTGTTGAAGCAAACATATATGTTAACGAACCAACAGACGCGACAGGTAAACGACGCGCCCTTCGCCTTGACTATACATAACGGATGGGCTGGGTCGAACCACTTATTATGACTACGGATGCACTTACTGCTAGAGTAAAGTCCCGCTAATTCCTGGGCTCCTTTGTGCTGTGGTCCCCATCTTGGAATTGTTTCTGTTGTTTCTCTCACGTTGTTATAATTTGGGTCTTCTTCACTCATAGAATTTCGTAAGATTTCGTCCTCCGTCTTTGATGCCATCGCGATCATCCGATCTCCATGCACAATTTGCAGCAACGGAAATGCTGGTTTTTGATTGGTCAGGTCGAAGAGAAGCTACTTTTGCTGCGGACAACTTCCGGATTTATGGAAAGTGTCAAGGCTGGGTAAGGCAACGATAACGTTTTGATAAAAAGCAATTAAAAGTTATTTATAAAAATTGGAAACAAATATGCAGATTTTAAGTTGGATGTATGTTTATTTGTGCGTGTTTTTACCTGAGTGTGTTTATGTGTGTGTATTGCCTCAGCAATCTTTGCGTGTGTGTACCTGTAGGCTTGCCTCAGTCTCAGACATTGCCTCAGTTTTCGGCCTTCCAAGCTCACGGTACCCTTACCGCTGGTAAGGCCTCATAGCAGTATGTACAAAAAAACCTTGAGACACATAAGTACCTCGAAATGTCCACGTTCTGACAATCTCTGTGGGTCCTCCGTTGTACCTTGTAGTATGTAAATCCAATTAAAAGTATTTTCGTGTACCTTCAGGCACGATGTACATAAAGTTTTGGTCATTTTATTTCAGCTTCCTACTGCACTGACACAACAGCACGCCATATTGTGGTACACTTGCGGAAAGGACGACCACCTTTTCAAGGTCGACCTCGAAATGGAGTTGACCTGTTTCATGTTTCCAATGTAAACTTTTAGCGCCCTCGGGTGACGAGTTGTGAAAAATGGTGTTTGATCCATGTAGGTGACCTAGCTCCAGTTTATAATGTTTTACAAGCATTTGGCCATCCATTTGCGCTTCTGTCGAATTTGGCCTACCTTTGCCTTAAAACCTACATGAATAAATATTTGAGAAATTTTATAATTATAGTATTTTATAGCAATAAAAATATATTTAAAAATCACGTATTGTATTATTTTTTATTATTAGTAGTATTATATTTTCGCCCTTAATCAAAATACATACATGAATTACATTAAAAGGAAAAAAACTTTTTACTTATTTTGTTTATTTATTATTTTATGGATGACATGCTCGAGCTCTGGTGTTCCGAATACTACTGGGAGAGGATAAAATATATATATTAAAATATATATATATATAAAATAAATAAATAAATAAATTGCAGCTCAAGTCAAAAATACAAGACTGGAAATGAAAAATGAACCGCAAAACATATCGGCGTCATTCGCTCTGGGAATACAAAAAAGTTACCAGTCATTTATTTCATTTTTGCATCACATAAACGACTTCAAGGCCTCTGTACACCTGGACCTCTTCCTCAAATGAAATAAAAATATAATACTACTAATAATAAAAAAAAATAAAATACGTGATTTTTAAATATATTTTTATTGCTATAAAATACTATAATTATAAAATTTCTCAAATATTTATTCATGTAGGTTTTAAGGCAAAGGTAGGCCAAATTTGACAGAAGCGCAAATGGATGGCCAAATATGCTTGTAAAACATTATAAACTGGAGCTAGGTCGCCTACATGGATCAAACACCATTTTTCACAACTCGTCACCCGAGGGCGCTAAAAGTTTACATTGGAAACATGAAACAGGTCAACTCCATTTCAAGGTCGACCTTGAAAAGGTGGTCGTCCTTTCCGCAAGTGTACCACAATATGGCGTGCTATTGTGTCAGTGCAGTAAGAAGCTGAAATAAAATGACCAAAACTTTATGAACATCGTGCCTGAAGGTACACGAAAATACTTTTAATTGGATTTACATACTACAAGGTACAACGGAGGACCCACAGAGATTGTCAGGACGTGGACATTTCGAGGTACTTAAGTGTCTCAAGGTTTTTGTACATACTGCTATGAGGCCTTACCAGCGGTAAGGGTACCGTGAGCTTGGAAGGCCGAAAACTGAGGCAATCTCAGACACAGTTTTGGCGTTTATATTTTCTTCTCATCACAAGTAAAGCCTTGCTTATTGTACCCAGCAAAGTTAGGCATTAGGGATAATTGCTCAGATTGAGATAAGAAGGAATGGGAAAAAAGACCTTTTTATTAAATTATTTAAACTCTGCATCACGTATTAAAATAAATCACCTGGATCTGTTTGCAAGACTGTTTTGAGAGAAAAAAATGTTTCCAATTCATCAAGAAATCAATCTTTTAAAAATATCTTTACCTAAGGACATCCAGGATGTGTTTGACACTGCCCCAAACAGTCGTATTTTAATTGTGCAAAGCTTGATATCTTAATTTCCCCGTTTAAACCTAATCTTTCTTGAGGAAATTTAGATACATGTATATACTACTGTAGTAGCACAAATATTTCCAGTTAAAATATACAGTAGTGAACCTTTTACTATCAGTGACTGCAAACTTGTCTGAGGTTTCTGTATAAGTACATACTGTAGAGGTGTTGGTTATGTTTTTTTACCTTCTATTTTATTTGAGATTGGAAACATTGGTAGATCACTTGGAAAGGTAGAAATTTATTGTACCCATCATGTAGGTACTATATAAGTTATATGTTGTATTATGTTTTGTGTCGATGCATTCATAAGTACTGTTGTCATGTGTTTTTAGTATTCACAAGAGATGCTTAAGAACATATGCCAGCAGTGCCACCTATTGCAGAGTGTGAGAACTGCCATACTGAGACACTGTAGCACTGATGTAGCATCTCACAAGCTTGCCACAAAGAAAGTTAAGACCAGAGCAGCAGGAAACACAGTAAGTATTTTGTATGTTTATAATTGCAGTCTCATTACTCAGTAATTAAACTATAACCTTGCTGTAACCTTGTGTACTGCAGGGGCAAATCCAAACATATTTTCTGACAGACTTCCAAATTAACTGTGTTGATCCATCCTCCAGTTTTGACCATTGTCTGTCAGAAAAAAATTAAATGCTTGTCAATGTAAATGAAAAAATGTTGACTGTCTTCCGGAAGACCAAGAAGACAGCTTCCCTCTGCCCCTGTATAAGTATACAGTGAAAAAATGTGAGCAATAGCAGCTACCATATTCTGGCTATACTTCTAACATTTCTAATTAATACGAAATTTGACCAGGCTTAATTCAGTGAATTATATAGTTATAGTCATAAATGGAAACAAATTTTAGTTTTGGCTGTGCTTTAAATGTTTTGGAGATCATGAAGATGAGTTTTTTTTCTTTTTTCAGAATGAATCATTTGCAGACCACTGTAAAGTACGAGTTAGAGGTGGTAATGGAGGAGATGGTTCAATGGTGTTCTTAAGGCAAGCCTTTAAGGAATTCGGAGGTCCTGCTGGCGGCGATGGCGGGAATGGTGGTCATGTGATCTTCAGGGCATCCAATAAAATCTCTAATCTCAACCTGGTCCGTGCTGTTTACCAGGCTGATGAAGGAGGGAGAGGAGAGGGAAATTGTTGCCATGGAAAGAGTGCAGAACATTTATACATTGAGGTAGTTGAGTTGGTTGGAAAACTCCTTAACTGACATGTTGGATATGCCTTGATGATGTAGATTCATCTGATTACTGCTGTTATGGTTAAATGTACATTTTATACTAAAAAAAAAGGTAAAGTAGTAAATCAAGTCCTCTGCTGGTAATTTTTTGTGAAATTTTTTCTTTCCACAACACTATTTCTTTATCTCTCTCTCATGTACATAGGTCTTTCCAGGTATTATTAAATTTTAATTGGTTGTGTTTTGATTTTAGGTACCAACAGGAACAATTTTTAAAGAATTAGAAACTCAGAAATTGGTAGCAGATTTGAGTTCTGAAGGTGACATGTTCTTGGCTGCAAGGGGCGGAGCTGGAGGGCGTGGCAACCATTTCTTTTTGTCCAATGAGATGAGAGTTCCTAGAATATGTGAAGAAGGAGGGAGAGGGGAGGAGGAACAATATTTGGTGGAGCTTAGAGTGATGGCTAATGCTGGACTGGTAAGATATGCTGTTAATGAATTGAAACCACTGGCAAGGTATTATGCCTAAAGTATTTAATATGTACATACTAGTTCACACATCCATGTACTGGTGTCCCTTTGAAATTAAAAAAAAAAATTTAAACATTTATCACTGGACTTATATTCTGCATTTTATAAGAAGGGCCAAGATTAATATCCTGGCCACGGAAATTCTGATGGTCACCAGTTTTTCACCTCATTTTTTCTAAACATGCGTAGGTGGAGTGATGATTGGCCATTGCCCTTTTCCTTGTACTGGATATTTGGAAGAGTGGATTATTTTCAATTGCTTCTTTTTGTTTTGTCTCACTATACTATGGGTTATCAACATGAGATATCATAGACACTGATGATGCTGATGTAGCTCTGAATTAGTAAATGATCGAAATGACATTAAAATACCATTACTTTTAATAACAGGATAACTGATAATCTTTATAGATTAAACCGTCTTTTTAGATAGGTTTTCCCAATGCAGGCAAGTCCACCCTACTGAGGGCTCTATCAAGAGCGCGACCCAAAGTTGCCTCTTACGCATTCACCACGAGGAAGCCTCACATTGGCATGGTGCAATACGACGATTACGCACAAGTGTCTGGTAAGGGTCGAGGGCAGGTCTCCTTTGGATGATGAAATTAATAGGCGAGGGGGGGGGGTTACGGGGATGAAAAAAGTTGCTTTGTTTTGAATAGAAAATAATTATACTCCTAAATTTAACTGTAAGTGTCTTGTTTGAACTGTACCATTTCTGCCTGATCTCTCTGTGTCCATTATAGATGTGGGAAAGGGATTTTAGGATAAAAAGACTGCCCAAGTATACACTTGGAGAAGAGCAGAATCTCTTAATTAAGAGGGTTGTGTTAACTGGTGTGGTGTGGGTGGGCGGAGGCAGTTTAATGCATTTTCAGTCCAGTTTTAACTGTTTCCCTTATCACTACCATTGTGGTAGAACTGATGATTTTGATTAGCTCAAAATAAGTAAGTGAATGATGAAATTGATAGATATTGATATGTAAAAATTGTACAAAAATTTAAATCAATGTGTAATTTTTTACACTTTCATAATGCAATTTAGAATTTTTTGAAGACTGAAAGTTCTTCTGTTTCCAACTTATTCCAGTTAAAATTGAATATCTTCCCCTTTTTTTTTAGGATCTCTAAGTTTACTGTACTCGATTGTTATTCAAGTTTTAGTTTAGTTTTGGCAGCCATGCATCAAGTTTATTTCTGTTTATTACAATAATTATTACATTTTACATTTTTTGTTTAATTCTCCTAGTTGCTGACATCCCAGGCCTAGTGACAGATGCCCACAAAAACAGAGGACTTGGTTTTTCCTTTCTGCGCCACATTCAGCGATGCTCCTGCTTGCTGTATGTCCTTGACCTTTCCCAAGAGGAGCCGTGGCAGCAGCTGAAGGACTTGAAATATGAACTTGAACAGTTTGAGACTGGGCTGTCAGAAAGACCGCATGCCATCATAGGAAATAAAATAGATCTCCCTAAGGCCAGGAAAAATTTAGATTTGTTAAGAGAGAAGGTGCAGTTGCCAGTTTATCCAGTTTCTGCCAAGTTTTTATTAAATATTGAAGAACTTAAATGCCATATCAGAAAGATATATGATGAACACATAGACAAAAGTTAGAACTTGATGACATTTTAGAAGTAGCTCTTTGTTGAAAAAGAAAAACATATATTTTAGAGGAGTCGACATTTTTATTGGAGTTTTATAGACACGTGAACAGTGAGGGTGAGGAGACATTATGTATTTAGGCCACATAATATTCTGAACAGGCTTTGCCAGAGTTCATAAAAAATCTTAACTACATTTTACATTAGTGCCCCCCCGAGTTTCAGAGTTAACTGGAGGTTACCCTCTTCTATCAGTTAATCCTGCTGATACTTACTGGTAACCTCAGAAATTTGGAGAATGGTGTCACTGAAAGCAAATGACCATATTTTTGGAGTTTGGAAATTTTATTTCAGTAGAACCAGAGACAAAATAAAGAGGATCATGATAAAGTGATCTGTTAAATATGTTTATTGTTTCCAGAAAATACAAGTGTGCAAGATTAACCATGCTAACAAGAGTTTATATTTTCTTAATTTACCAAACCTTCAGTATGTACAGAAACTATTTAAAATTATGAGTGGCTATATGCATTACTGCATATGACTGAACATTACATATATAACAAAAAATCCAACATAAAATCTTAAACTTAGAAACTTCATTCTTAACAATGTAGATTGTTTGAAGCTGACAATGCACTATGGATAAATATTTCATAAATGTGTCAAAACCAAAAATACACAGACTAATCATTTTGACAAAAAAAAAGCAATATTATGAACGGCATAATTATAAACACTCAATCTGGCACTTTGTAAATTTAAGGTGTCAATGCAAGAAAATAAAAACTCAATTGATGTACTTATTAAATACCAAACAAACTGTTTCATTTGAATCTTCAAAAACTAAATTTGAAAATCGATGGTTCAGTGGGATCAATTATCTGATTTAAAGGAGAAACAATCTTTTTTTTTTTCAAATGAAAAAGGAAGACAAAATGAAAGCTTGGACCAAATATATGTCTCAAAACCTTATATCATCAGTCAAGATATCTGCCAATATCAAAGTTCAATGACTTCTAGAAATTTTAGGCTACAGAACACCAGACTAAGTATTTCAGTTGACTTAATTTTCCCTGCTTAAATTCCTCATCAAATCTTCAGGTTTGTACGAAANATGAAAGCTTGGACCAAATATATGTCTCAAAACCTTATATCATCAGTCAAGATATCTGCCAATATCAAAGTTCAATGACTTCTAGAAATTTTAGGCTACAGAACACCAGACTAAGTATTTCAGTTGACTTAATTTTCCCTGCTTAAATTCCTCATCAAATCTTCAGGTTTGTACGAAAAGACGATCATTTTGATTTCCAATCCATATATATATGTGAAAACAAAAATATGACACAGTTTATCACTGAACTGTAATGCCACCACAGAATAAATGCATTGTAATAAGAATTACAAAGAAGCCTCAACTTCCTACCACTTTCCAAATTATTTTCTAAAATAACATAGTCAATGGTCTAGTCAACATTGCATCAGGCTCATGCACGTCACACAGCATTTTCTGAAAGCGCACACAACACAGATATTTGCGCAATTTGCATTGCCATGACTTGGTAATGACTTCCGTAACACTAGTCCTAGGCAGATACCTCCATTGCTGTGGACCTGGTGGGGGTCTTCAGGCTGCAGAGCTGTTTGATGGTCTCCACTATTCTGTCATTATCATCAGACAAAGAGATTTGTATGTGTGGACCGTATTGCTGGTCGAGCTGTATGAATGAAAGAAATATCACTTACAAAAGAGCCATGATGACAGTTCTCACCATGAATATGAGATAGAAAGTATGTTTCAAAATGTTTTCATTAACAAACACATTTTTAAAGTGCAATATTTATTTTGTTCAGTAAATTATGGTAATGATGATTCCCATGAAAAAATATTAAGAAATTCAGCAATCATACTTACCTGCTGAAGAACAAACAAAGCTTTGGCACTGACAACTGATCCAGAAATGAAAATTTCACGCTCAGACCAATTTTGATTATACCATGCTTGACCAAATCCAAGGCGAACTTCGATGTTGGGTCGAGGACCTTGGCCTTGAAGGTACTTTTGAACAGCAGGTACAAAATAATTGTTAAAATCAAAGAGTTTAAAGTCCGAGTTGTCTCGCTCCAGTTTGAAGATCTCATCTTCCTTGTGTGGAGAGGCGCAGAAGACGACACACCTGAAAAGAATTCTCTTGATTACTGACCATCATTTCTGTCAATGCAAAACATTCATCTTTATTTACCGAAAAACAGTATATATGTATCATTACAGTGGCAGATTTAGAGGGGGTCAGGGGTCAGGTGGGTCCTGACCTCCCCTTCGATTTCTGGTCCCCTCTTGAAATTAGAATTTTGTCTAGCTGAATCATAGTTCTAAACCATATCAAATGGCACTGTTCGCCCTTTAAAATACGAAAATATTTCGGGCCCCGAACCCCATGCCAAGTGTGTGTGTGTTGGGGGAGGGGGTCAGATTTACATCCGTGGACCCTCCCCCTATTCAAATAATCCTGGATCTGCCTCTGCATTAGATTTTTTTCATAACTGGATGAAAGATTAAATATTTAATTAGTAAGTATATCATACTTGACAGATCTTAAAATAAACTTTAAACAAATGCACATAAAATTATTAACAATTCAAATGTCACTGTGAAAGAATACGCAGGTATCTACTTAGAATAAGGAATGTTCATCCTTCAAAAAATTCAGGGATGGCATGCAAGACGTAAGTGTCATCTGCTGTTATCTTTTTAGATAGCCCTCACTGCTGTCCATATGTTATACACACACGCACACTCACTTTTCTCAAATTACAAAGTTACCGCATTCTCAAAATGTGAAATTAAACACAAAGCAAAAACGTACAGGTACACTTTTTCTCAATGATTATATGGACTGGAACAGACAAAGAATGCTTGCAATTCACTCTAGCCAAGCAAAGAAAAAAAAATTCTTTAAAAATTTAAGTTTAAAGAATATTGGTTGTCAAGTACTTTGTTGAATGCATCTTTATACCAAAATTCCATGTACGGAAGTGTCACCCACCTACAATATCTAGCAGCGTAAATATCTCCATTAACACACTTCAGCAAAAGGCCTCGTTCCATGCACTCTAAAATTTTGTTGGTTAATTCTTGTTGATGGTCTATACACGAACCTGGTGGTGGCATGAGATATTGGCTCACTGCTCTGGGACCAAACAGCTGCAAGAAAAAAAAAACAATTGTATCCAATTTTTTAACACTAACAATCGCACTTATGGCAATAACTGTAACAGTAGCAATTCAAACAAAATATTTTCCTGAGTGAAGTTTGATTGGATATTCACAAAAGGAAGGATTTTTGAAGTTAAAGGAGAGCCGGTTTCATGAAAGGATTTGAGAAAAAATGAATTGGTGATAAATTAAAATGATGAATCTTGAAAACTGAAACAAACAAAACCTGAGATGCACGAATAACAGTTTAAGTACACAAGATTAAAAATTAATCAAGTGATTTTCATTTTTTTGCGCAGTATACTACATTTTAAACCCTCCTCTATGATTATGATAAATCATTTTAATGGCTTACATGAATATCATGCAAGTGTTATCATTGTAATGAAATTGGGGTGAATGGGTTTTTCATAAAGGGTTTAAATTTGATAAAATGTCATGGCTCATATACATGTATAAGAACACCTTTAAGACTCTTTTGAAGCAAAGTATCATTTCACCAAAAAAATTGCAATTAACTTGGTACCTGATCAACTTGCTCCCCCATTTCCATGGCAAAGCTCTGAGCAACCTCTGCCATGTTTTGCTCAGTGCCAGGATTGGATGAATTATAATACAGGCGACTGCCGTTGGGGTTGTTTATCTCGTACTGGGCAACTTGCTGTCTCTTGTAGAATAACTTCATCAACATCTCATGGCCTGTTTCAAGGTAAAGAATATTACTGTTGGTCGAAAAAAAGGCAGCAATCTGAATAGCTCAAATAAATATAAAAGCGATGCTGACTGTATTTAATCAGTATTGATTTTTCAAATCAAAACTGTGAATCAACAACCAAGACACATACAATTATGACATCTTTATAAAATGCCTTAATTAAACAATAATGTTTAACTTACTATTTTTTCCTTCATTTCAGTAAAATTTGATTATAAGTATAAAAATGTTTATTCAGTACAATAGTGTGCAATACATTTTCACAATAAGCTGTTATTTTAATTAAAATCTATAAATATAATTTATAAACAATTACAGAGAAATAAATTTGAGTAAATTAAATATTCAATTTGTTTTAAATCTCTTTCCTTTAAAAATACAAAAGCTAAATCACATTTTACATTTTTAAAGTCACAAGACCAAAAAAAAAAAAATGTGTGGGCCTTGTCAAAGGAAAACGGATATATCATATCATATAATGACACGTACTAGCCAGACAAATTTCAATCCATGATCACCTTATCTTCTCTAACAGTAAGGCTTAAATAAATACTGTGGTCACATGTAGATGGCAAGCAGAGGGGAAATGGGGGGAGGGGGTGTGTGAAACAGTGAGGGTCTTGTTTGAGACCAGGCCTGTAGCCAGCAATTCAAAGGTGATTGTTTTTTAAGAAATGGACCTTTTTACCCTTATAGTTGACCCACTTTGAATATTAATGGAATAGAATCTAAATCAAATTTTGATACAGACTATAGACCTTTTCCAGCCAAAAGGGTGGTCCTTTGAAACCCTTTACCCCCCCCCCCCTCCCCCACACCACCACCAGCAATAAAAGTCTGCTTAAATAAAAAAATTGTGAAGAAGAATCAAGATCCTCCAATTTTCCATATGGAAATGCATTTTTTCTCACACTTAATTAGGATCCCAGTTACAATAACTTAGCCTTATGACTGTGACAGTGTAGTCACAGGGTCTTTATCTCAGCCAGATAAAACATATGAGTCACTGCCTAGAAAACTTTCATAGCTAACAGAAATTACCTGTTAAGTCACCTGTTTGGAATAAGTGTCCAGATTCCTGTTATGTAATGAACAGTCATGTGGAGCACTCGTGACTCATTTTCATCTAGTCAGTTCCTATTCCACTTGATTCAAATTTCAAAATTTAATATCCTAGCTAGTTTAATTCCTTATCTTTAATTCCCTATCATTGGGCAGCCAATTAGACTGAAACAGCACTATATTACAATTATCCAGTTTGGTTCATTGGACTGGTAATAAATTTGCATTTTGAAACATTAAGAAACTTCTAAAAAGATGAGCTGATTGATGTATACACTGAAGGTATTCTAGATATTCTCTTTTTGACTCAAGCCAATTCCATATGCCACAGGTTTTACTGCAATTGTGGTAAACTTTTTATCTTTTCAATCTGGTAGTTTTTATTTGTAAGCTTCAATCCCCCTTCCCCTAAAGAATTTTAAAGCAATTTTGTCATATTTGGAAAATGGAAAAAAATTGGGGTAATATCTTAGGGCTTTATCAGCCCTTACCTTTAGAGAACTGGAGCTCAGTGTAATTTTTTTGGTAAAAAGGGTGGTTAAAATGATTTACAAAAGACAAAAAAACATGATGAAAGGAAAAGTAAAATCAATGTTATTCTGGGGTAGCGCTAGCAATTTTTTCGCTGAGCCAAATCACCACTTTTTTGTCAATTTGTTATCCAATTTGACTAAAATTAGTCAAATCAAGTCCAATTTGTTTAGCCAAGGTATGTCACTTTTAGGATTTGGCTAAATTGGCGAGTGAATTAGCATTACCCCAGGTTATTTACCTTGAGGCTGTGGGATGGTAGTTTGCTGTGCGGCCTGTTGAGGTGGCATCAAGAGAGGAGCTCCAGTCTCTGCATCAGATGGGTAGCTCTGATCATCCATCACCACTGCTTCTAGCAACAGAATATTGAATTATACCATGATTAAATCAGCTAGATTTAGTTTAATCATCATTCTCAGATTTCTTTTTGCTTCTTTTTCCTGTACCATTACGTAATTATTTCATTTTCTTTTTTTTAATATAAATTAAGGGTCTCTGCATCATATAGGTATCATTAATTGTTCATCCATCACCACCAGTTCTAGTAACATGTACAATATTGAATGTTACTATGATTAAATCAGCTACATTTAGTTTAATCATCATCCTCAGTTTTCTTTTCACTTCTTTTTCCTGCACCCATTTCGCAATTATTTCATTTTCTTTTATATATCAATGGACCATGCCTAATTATAGGGTCTGATCTCTCTACATCACCATATTGTTATTCCCCAGCATCTTAACTTCCCTAATTTTCTTTTTTTAATATAAATTAAGGGTCTCTGCATCATATAGGTATCATTGTTCATCCATCACCACCAGTTCCAGTAACATGTACAATATTGAATGTTACTATGATTAAATCAGCTACATTTAGTTTAATCATCATCCTCAGTTTTCTTTTCACTTCTTTTTCCTTCACCCATTTCGCAATTATTTCATTTTCTTTTATATATCAATGGACCATGCCTAATTATAGGGTCTGATCTCTCTACATCACCATATTGTTATTCCCCAGCATCTTAACTTCCCTGTGTCATTACTCTCCCATACAAAAATTTAAAAATTAAATTATAATATTACTTGCATTGCTGTGCCCCCACACCGATAATCTGCTGCACTGTTTTGCCTTCCATCATTTTTCCTAATGAAATTTTTATATATATGCCGCATTAAGACCTCTAAATTCCATCAAATTTGTTTTTGTAATTATCAACAGGTCTTGACATTTTTCTGCCAATATTTCATCCACTGACAGTCAGACTTCATCAGGGAGTTTTACTATAGCTACTGACAAAAAAAAAACTGTTGGTCATTTGAACATATAGCTAATGAAACTGTTAACAAAATAGACTTTACAAAAATCAACAGACCTGTGTCATGTGGAGTATCACTCTGAGCTGCCTGGGTCACTTGGCCCTCCTGGGTAGTAATAATAGTCAGAGGTGTCCAGGGGGCCATTCCGACGCTCACTGCAGGCTGGACGGAGATCATGGAGACCTCGCCACTGATGTACTTCTGCTGGTCAAGACTGTCGCACTTGAGTAGGTCGTCACTTTTGATGTCTCCCCACTCATCATTTGACGTCAAAGTTGTCTGGCTATCTGGAAAGAACGTATATGGATCTTATTAGGAGAGGTGTAAATTGCTGTATATACAAGTTAAGGTTGCCTCTTGGGTTTGATTTTTCTGAATGTGGGATAATCACCACCTACATGAAAATGTTTTTGTTTATTTTAGTTAAGCTTTGGAGCTGCGATCTTTAAGTTTTTTGTCTTTGCCCAATAATACAGAATTTACAAAAAAATTAATCAAAAAGGTATCATGCATAGCATAAAATTGCTTCATTTTTTTACCCATGCAGTAACATTAAATTCTGACAAATTTAAATAAAAATATTTAATTCATCATATATACACCATTAAACTTTTATTTATAATCATCTAATTTAAATAACACAGTTCACAGACAAGTTGTTACACTTGCATAGAAATGGAATGTCACTTGAAAAGTATTAGTATAACTGAGAAAAAAATTCAAATTGTTAATAATTTGCAGCCTTATGGAACAAAGAACATTTAATTCATGCAAAGCAATATATCATATTTTAAATGAAGGTTAAGGCATACAGGCACAATAATTGACAATGTAACAAAAAGTGGGCATTCCTTTTGACAGCAAAGGTTATACCATTAGGTGTGGACATGCATATTAGGCAACTTCAACAAGCCAGCAAAAGCTGTCCAATGTACAGACTGTAAACTATATCAAGACTATTTGGTATCAGTTCTATTCATATCAGTCTATACATTGAGATATAGTTTTGTAGAGAAAAAATGTATGCTACATAAATATACAACACAACAAAATGTTATAAATAAATAAATAAATAAATAAATAAATAGAATTTCAAATTACACAATTCCAGGTCCATTTTTGCAATAGGCCTAAATTTGGGATCTTTGCAAGACTTACAAGTAATAAAACAGAGAATCTGATTGAAAACCTAGAAATATGCCTTAATCATGGTTTAAAAAAGGTTGAGATACTCATTCCTAATTTTGCAATGTAAGCTGTGTAAGTTACACATTCAAATAACTCTAATATGTTTTTTTAAATTGGCAACTCTGATATTTCAATATATAGTAATTATTTATGTGACAGTTAATGGTCCGTTCTGCTCACACTGACATCATAGATGTTAGGAGACACAGGTTACACAAGTATGTCCAGACTCCACATTGTCTGTACATAAAAATCAATATCCAATACCACTGTGTATGGTGATTGTGATATTTAACTTGGATGTAAATCTTTTAAAAGTGATATATTTTTTTTAAATAGTATAAACTGTATATAGGTGATGACATCACATGAATATTCTAATCATTATTGACTGTGATATGATTACATCAAAGAAGTTATCAATGACATCATTATTGAAAAAGCGAACAGAACATAATGTATAAACATCAAATGTGTTGTGTTAAACTTCTCATCCCTTTATCAATTATCTATATTATCACTAAATTTCTAAAACTGCAACAAATTAACAGAATAAAATTAAATTTCATCTTACTAAATCTAGAAAAAAAATAACATAAATGTAACCTCTACCCAAGACAACAAACAAAGCAACTTAATTATTGCTAACAAAAAACCTAAGATCAAGGAGTCATGGACACGGAACTGACATAATTATACAACAAAAAAAGTAAATGTTTGTGAAGGACAGGAGAAAACATTCACAATGCATGACACAAGACACTACGTCACAACATAACTGACCGACCCCGAGGAAAAGTGAATAAAAATTGGGACACTAAGTTTGCCTCAAGAGGAGAGCACTTAATATATGATTGTGCATCACATGCCCTGACTCTAGGGAACTATAGACATTTATACTACAACATAATGTATAAATGGTCTAATCTATCAGCATCCCTAGTAAGAATACTTGAAGCTCAAAAATGAAATTGCTAAAAAGTCTTTTAAATCTTCTTCTTAAGGTGTGAAAATAAAAGATGAACAAGCCATCCAATTAGTAATCTTCATGCATGCAATTTGACATGCAGGAAGGCATTATTCATGCAGGCTTGGTATTCTGCAAACAAAAGCTATGAACAGAACTGAACAAAACAATTGACAATTAAACTATTCCAANTTTTTTTTTTTTTTTTTTTGCTAGATTAAAGTCTTACACACATTGTATGCCTTCGAAAAAAAAAAAAAATTAACAGACAGAAGTGGGGCAGAGGTGACAGGAAGGGGAAGGGAGGGAGGAGTTGTACTAAAACTCAAGAACCCAAAGGTAATTAAAGAACCTGGGGTCGCTCTGATCACTGTAACACTTAACATTACCCTGAGGTATCAGACATTTTGCATTCTAACAAGAGAGTATTTTTTCTTTTCTTTTTTCTTTCATTTATTTATTTTTTTAATCTTCATTCTTTTTCAGCTATCACAGTACAAAAAAATTCCAAGAATCACACTTCTTTTTGTACTTTGTATGCTCTCAGTAATATAAATACATATACATGCAGTTATTGAATATATGCATATGTATGTAAATATTAAATTAACAACTGTTAATTAACATGACATAACCAATCTGACAATGAAGCCAAAAGTACAGCACATTATAGGAAATTAGCTAATTTGTCCGTGATTTGTTTAAAGATCAGAATGTTTTTGAGAATACGCCCATGGGTATACATGTTAACTGTTACTTCTTTGCACTTTTAATCAAGAGTATAAAACCATCCCCTCAATGGCTACCCTCTGCTCCCCCATTTTTTACAGCTCTAGCTTCACCCTAACATGCACCATTCAAAATGTCTACCTTCCCCTTTTAAACTAGTCTCCACCAGCATCTCTACCTCACCGAGAAGTATATCATCTTGATCTACAGGAAACGGAGAGAAATGACAAAGATGATCATGCAATTGTCAAAATACAAATAAGATCTGCTGACAGTTAAGACCTATATTATCTTATTAAGAGAACTGTATTTGAATTTGATAAGACTGATCGAGATGAGAATCTTTTCATATGATCCATGCAACTACATGATTGCATGATATTGGAGGACGGAAATAAAATCATTTTCTTAAAATAAAAGTTTTATAATCTGGTGTCATCAGTTTTATGATACATATGACCCTGTTAATGTTGCAAGGACTCTGCTAACTAAGTTTTATATATACATGTAAGTTTTCTGTGTACTGTAACAGCCTACGTATACCAAACTATAGTCAATTTGTAGTCCAACCTTTAAAAGTATGACATCAGAATCTGGTTTATGCTGTGCCATATATTACTTTACACAAGAAATTCCTGTTTGCCATCCTAATTTGCATTCAAATTGTGCCTGGCAGCTACAGTACTCCGCTGTATGTTGAAATACGTATACATATTAGGACTAGCATTAACTGCCTTTAAAACTAATTCAAGCCTTCAAAGTTATCATTACTCAGTTGTCTTCATTACTATAGAAAATAGTGCCTGTGCCACTGAAGCACCTGAAACTGCATGTTTTTACAACATTCCAATATTAACATGGTGGTGCCCCATTCAAGTGATCCCCAGGGAATAAATGCGCCCTATTAAAAGAGCATATGCCCTACCATGCACAGATAACACACACACACACACACACACACATGCATGCACGCACACATACACAAACACACCACTGGCTATTTAATATCACTCAAAACTGAGATTTAAATTTTTTTAACTTGAAGTTAACACTTCTTCTATTGAGTCTCTATTGTTTCATTAAAATATATTTAATTTCCCTAAAATGTAAATTTCTGCAAGTGCTTTTTTTAATTACTGGTAAAAACAAAGTAATCATATTGGTTTTAAATACAAAGTAGACCATTCCATTCCCATACTAGATGGATCTATCCAACTCCTGGGGGATTCTCGCTAAATTGCGTTCAGTTTAAGTGGCTTAAATGTCTGGTACACCCCCTTGTAACTTCAAGTACGTGGGTAAATTCAAAAAAAACTTTATATGGTCCATGATGTTGTTCATTTTGCTATACGAAGGGGTGTGCCAGACAATTAGGCTAATTATACTGGCTTAACCTTAGCAAAATTAATCCCTGCCAAGATAGATTGCTCCTGCTAGTATGATAAAGTTATGGGAATGCAGTCTAAGATTTCACAATATCAGTGCTCCACTTTATCATCTGACCTTGATATTTGCTTCCATGAAGCTATATTTTTCACAGAAGACCAAGGGTTATAAGGCAGAGGGGGTCCACTGCTTGTTTTATTAAATATACAGCAGGTGATGTGATTGATTAGCATCATATGAGATATATAAAACATTTAATCTCCAAAAGATCCATAATAATTCCAGAAAACCCAATGTATAGAGCCTAAAATGATTGAATTTCTTCTTATAGAAAATCAAAAATGATGATCTTCTCAGCTACAATATTCTATTTCAAATGAATAAATGAATGAATGAAGAATATGAACCTAACATTGGTCATGCAGGAAAAAGTACCAAACATGACAAATATTGGTATTTCATGAGTAATTTTGTACCAGCAGTAAACCCCCCTATGATTCAGGTGATTAAAAGCAAGTACGTTTCAGAACAAGAGATCGTGTTAATTTGTGCAGCCTAGATGAAACTTGATACCAGAACTTCAGTACCACAATTTGAACTATATTTTTTATCAAAGTGGTTACAGGTTATAATACTTACCAATTTTCATGCTTGAAACTACTGTTGGAACAGAGCATGGGGCCATTTGAGCCTGAAATATTTTTTAAAATCTTTAAATAAGCAGACTAAACAAAAAATATGAAATAGGCCGCATTCAGAGAAGCGTACTAACTAGTATATGCAGATCAAATATGGTGACCAATCTAAAAGCTTGCCATCTAATCCCCTTATAGGCACTGAATAGATCCCCGGGGGATTATGAAAGAAGCATTCAAGTGGGTCGGCCATACCTGACCTGCTGACGTTAGTTCACTGTTGTGTCTGCTGTTGTTAATGTGGCCATAGTCTTTTATGTCTTTATCATTTATGTATCTTTATTATTTATGTACTGGTACATATACACACAAATAGAGCTGTTGTACACAAACTTACCAAAGCTCCAGTATCTTCACTGGAATCCGAGTCCATGTCACTGGCAATGAATGTGGATGAGATTCTCTTCTTTTTAACTTCTGGAAAAAAAGTTTGCCTCGATTGTTACTTCACTGCCATAGTTACAAACCAAGGGCCAGAGAAGCAGATATACAGGGTTTATGAAAGTTATTGTTCACTCACATTAACCCTATGATCACACCTTAGCCAAAATAAGGACAAAAAC